AAGGAAATAGGGAGATAGACCTTTTGGAAATGGAAAGTGACCAAGAGGTATACCAGTGGGGAGCAGAAGGGAATGTAGAAAGTATTAATATGTGTCATATACATGCACCAAATATCCACATTGAAAATAGTCATTATTTATGCTAACATGGACTAATAAAATATAAAAAGAAAATAAAATTTAAAAAGAAAAAACAGTAGCCCAGGGTTGTGGTACACACCTGTACACCAGAACTCAGGAGGCTGAGATAGGAGGATTGCATTGAGTTCAAGGGCAGCATGAACCTCACAGTGAAGTTCAAGGCCAGCCTGAAGTACATAATGAAACCCTGTCTGGAAAAAAAACACCAAAAAAATACATTTTAAGTAAATATATATAGCAGTATTGTTATTACTAAAATTGTGATGTTATCAAGACCACAATAGTTCATTAATATGTTTTTTAAAGGAGTAAGTTTCATTTGTTAACTATTTGAGTCATGAAAAATTAAAACTTCTATAATTAAAGGCATTCATAAAGAGAACCATTTTGTTGCATGTTATGTTGCAGAATTCCAACACACAGGAGAGACCAAATGGAAGTCAGGAGGATTTATTTAAGGTGTGTACACCAGCTCAGCAGACTCTGTGTCTAAAATAGCTGAGCACTAAACAAAGAATAGTTCCAGCTTTTATACATTTTGTTGAAGGTACTAGTTTTCCTAGTGATGTAGCAAGTGAGTTTACCAGAACAGGACAAGGGCAGACAGCTTTGTAACTTTGCCTTGAAAGAAGACAGTGTCTTGTGAATCATATGAGAACAGAGGGTCATAAATTTGTTTACAGGACATAGCTATTAATTTCATCTGTACCAGAACAGGTGAATATAGACAGAGGGGAGGGGTGGGTAGTTGGGTGAGAGAAACTGCCCAAGGCTGGGAAGGACTTGTTTTTCTTTAAGCTTTAGTTGTACACACAACTCTATCAATGATGCATACAAACTGTGTGGGCCAAATATAATAGTCACTTCCCAAGAAGGACCTGCAAAAATACATGTGTAAAACTATACATGCTTATTTAAAATTGATTTATTTAGATAACTCCCATGCCATAAAAATTCACATGCCGTAAAGTTAACTGTTTTAAGTGAACTATTTTGTGACGATCACTATATTCTCTAATTCTAAGGCATTTCCATCCACACTGTGCAGCCAAGTTGTAATTCCTCCCTCTTCCTCAATTTCTACACCCTCTGTTAATCTGTTGTTCATCCCTATATGCTTTACTATTCTGGATATTTTTTGTAAATTATTTACAATAAAGGTGATCTGGGTTGCTTGATTACCTTGAATCAATAAGTATTCAACTTTTTAAATATAACTAGAATGTTTTACGCCAAATATCTGGCATTCATTTATTTTACATAATTGAATTTTTATGTTTATGAGCAGCTTCTATCTCCCAAGCCCTTGTCCTTTGCAACCATCATTTTATTTTCCTATTCTGTAAGTCTGAGTATTTTCAATGTCTTATACTGTATAAGTGGGAATACACAGTATATGCCTAGGTACTGGTTTATTTCATTTAGCATAATATTCTCCATTATTCTCTACATTATATATATGTATATATACATTATTCTCTATATTATATATATATATATATATATATAATATCACATCCTTCCTATTGTCACACCTTGGGGTGGGGTGTATGCCACGCCAGGGCACGCCACAGCTCAGCTGGAAGACGTGGCTACTAGGATCCTATTGGGATCTTAGCCTATGACTCCCTGTCCCTACACTACTGCATTTTGCAGAATTTATTTTTTTAAACACTAAATGATATGTTCTTGTATCTATCACAATTTATTTATATATTCATCTATGAATGGGTAATTAAATTTTTCCACTGGTTGATTATTTTGTATTGTGTTGCAATGAACATGAGAGCATGAAAATCTATTTGAGATCTTAATGCCAGTATTTTGGATAGCAACTATGAGTGGGATTGCTGGATTATGAAATAAATACACAGCTACCTAATTAAATAAATGACACAAAGTCACAGTTGAATATAGTCTTGATGATTAGTGCATAACTTCCAGATATTACATTAAATTCTCAGCGGCTTTAAGGGCAACCAGTAAATTACTTGGCATCTCCTCAGGGAGAGTTTCAAAGCTTTTACAAGAAGGCTAAATTGCCCTCACAACCTCAAACCCCATGTTAAGAAGCACATTGGTGGGAGAATTAAGAGGGAGATTTCATTACAGGTAACAAAGAGAGGTGGTGCCTGTCTCATGTGGTTCCATATGGTAAGTGATACCTCAGAATCTACAGAAATGGCCACAGTTTTGCTCAGCTTTGCCACCTCCTGAGAGAGCATCTAGGCTTGCGTTTGTGTGCTTTCCACAGCTCCATAGCGCCTGAGCAGCACTCTCCTCTCCTCTCCTCTCCTCTCGATTTTGCTATTTGAACATTTTCACCTAGACTGAGAAGACCAATGCTCAGGAACATCTTAGAAACACAGAGTGAGTGTTTTCATAGAAAATGCAAAAATGTGTATCACATATTTAATCATATAACTAATATAATGCAATCATATATATGTATAAATATAATTTCTTACTCAAAAAAGGTCAAAATGAAGAAGAGAGAAAGTATAAAAATAGGACACAATTTTGTTTAATGCCATATTTTGAAACTTTAATGATTCAACCAGTTACTGGGATTTAATTCTGGTTTTATAGACTTTTGTGAGTTTTTGGAAAATATTTTAACATTTAATAACAACATAACTAAATGTACAAAATGTGATTCATTCCTGATCTCTTAATGAAGAAATGGACTTTCCACCTCACAATGAGGTGATAAAATTATTGAGTTTCAGGAGAGTTTAATATTCAGCTTTATAGAAATGGTATTGTTCCTCATTTTATAGTAAATTTCTCTTAGAGAATAGATTTTAAAAATAATTTTGAAGGTAAAATAATATACCATAAAAGAGAAAGTTGTTTTATTCCATTGAATTCCAAAGCTATTGAAAAAATTTTTATTTTTCTCACTTAAAACATTAATTCTTACCATATGCACATTTTAAAAACTTTTTCATAATTGCAAGCCAACACAAAATAAAACTAGTGTTAAATTCCTTCTTGTAGTATTTTATTGAAGGTATTTTAAAATGTTATTACCTGAAAACATTTTCATATTTAATATGAGAAAATTATGTGGAGCAGAAGAGTAGATCAGGTAGTCACCACGATTTCAAGAAGTTTTTCAGGAAATAAAGTATAAATTACATGTAATGAACTCTTCACATGTGTCTTTTTATAGCTTACTTAGAGATTTATGTCCCTATATTTCTCAATTCAAAGTATATCATTTTTTAGTTTTAAAACATTAGAAGAATATTTTACAAAAGTACTGTCTTATCTTAAGATACTATATGCCTCTTTTCTTTCTGTACTTGCAATATATCATATTTGAAGTAGTTCTTGTGGATGTAATTCAAGGAAATATCTCAAATCACATCAGGAATCCATGTATTTCTCAGGTTTATTGCATTTTATTTTGTCTCTATGTACTTTGTAACATAATAAAAGCTTTACACAAT